AGAAAGTTGACGTGTGGATAGACAGAAAGTTGAGACACCGTGTGGATAGACAGAAAGTTGAGGGACACATCCCAGATAGATAACTATTTGTTTCGGTATCCCACAGCACCAAACATCTAGAAAATCGTGGGTAATTAAAAAATCGAAACGACAAAATACACATTAAAAAAATCTATTTACAAGTCTTAAACCAATAACAATGCATCATTTTGTTAGATTTTTTCCCTCTCTTTACAGTGACATTTGAAGAGAACCCCAAACAGGGCGCGGCTAGTGACAAGGGCGTCTTTGTGTAAACCTCAGTCTTGTAAACTACGCTGTCATATGTAGACATTTGTAAACACAACTAAACTCAAACATTCTTACATACACCTTTAGGTATCTCACATACAAGATGTAGGTAGAGTTTTGTAATCTAAAAGCTTTAAAGAAATCGCTTTTAACATTCTTTTTTTTTTGTGAAACAAAAATTAAAGTCTGAATTGAATAAAATTTTTACAGTATTTGAGTGGTGAGATTTTCCCACAAGCTGATTGGTGATGGGGTGGGGGAGGGGTGAGTCAAGGTAGGTTAACATCAGGTGGTGTGTTGGGTTACAGGTAGGTTAACATCAGGTGGTGTGTGTTGGGTTACAGGTAGGTTAACATCAGGTGTTGGGTTACAGGTAGGTTAACATCAGGTGGTGTGTGTTGGGTTACAGGTAGGTTAACATCAGGTGGTGTGTTGGGTTACAAGTAGGTTAACATCAGGTGGTGTGTGTTGGGTTACAGGTAGGTTAATATCAGGTGTTGGGTTACAGGTAGGTTAACATCAGGTGGAGTGTGTTGGGTTACAGGTAGGTTAACATCAGGTGGTGTGTGTTGGGTTACAGGTAGGTTAACATCAGGTGTTGGGTTACAGGTAGGTTAACATCAGGTGGTGTGTATTGGGTTACAGGTAGGTTAACATCAGGTGGTGTGTGTTGTGTTACAGGTAGGTTAACATCAAGTGTTGGGTTACAGGTAGGTTAACATCAGGTGGAGTGTGTTGTGTTACAGGTAGGTTAACATCAGGTGGTGTGTGTTGGGTTACAGATAGGTTAACATCAGGTGGAGTGTGTTGGGTTACAGGTAGGTTAACATCAGGTGGTGGGTTACAGGTAGGTTAACTTCAGGTGTTGGGTTAAAGGTAGGTTAACATCAGGTGGAGTGTGTTGGGTTACAGGTAGGTTAACATCAGGTGGAGTGTGTTGGGCTTAAAAAATGAATACAAATTATGTGTTAAATACTATCGGAATAACCAGTTTTAAGAATATGCCTAAGTGTTGATTATAAATTTTAGCAAACACAAAGTTTTTAGTACAACATGTTTCTAGAAAATCTAAAAATTACACACATGTCAATAAACTGGAAAAATCCACTTTTTCCTATCAAACACAACCGAAACAGTAAGGCCAGGGTAAAACTTCCCTGTAGTTCGACCTTGCTATCAGAGCTGATTGAAAAACTACACACGGAGTATTGACTCGAATCAAACAAACACATCGTTTTTATTTCCTCAACTTACAGGTTTTTATTTCTCTTCCTGTCTATGAGAGAAAATTTGTTTTCTATAGAGGGGCAGCTCAATAAGTGACCAGTTGACCCTATAGGCTACCTCTCTAGTGACCAGTTGACCCTATAGGCTACCACTCTAGTGACCAGTTGACCCTATAGGCTACCTCTCTAGTGACCAGTTGACCCTATAGGCTACCTCTCTAGTGACCAGTTGACCCTATAGGCTACCTCTCTAGTGACCAGTTGACCCTATAGGCTACCTCTCTAGTGACCAGTTGACCCTATAGGCTACCTCTCTAGTGACCAGTTGACCCTATAGGCTACCACTCTAGTGACCAGTTGACCCTATAGGCTACCTCTCTAGTGACCAGTTGACCCTATAGGCTACCTCTCTAGTGAACAGTTGACCCAATAGGCTACCTCTCTAGTGACCAGTTGACCCTATAGGCTACCTCTCTAGTCACCAGTTGACCCTATAGGCTACCACTCTAGTGACAAGTTGACCCTATAGGCTACCTCTAGTGACCAGTTGACCCTATAGGCTACCACTCTAGTGACCAGTTGACCCTATAGGCTACCTCTCTAGTGACCAGTTGACCCTATAGGCTACCTCTCTAGTGACCAGTTGACCCTATAGGCTACCTCTCTAGTGACCAGTTGACCCTATAGGCTACCTCTCTAGTGACCAGTTGACCCTATAGGCTACCTCTCTAGTGACCAGTTGACCCTATAGGCTACCTCTCTAGTGACCAGTTGACCCTATAGGCTACCTCTCTAGTGACCAGTCGACCCTATAGGCTACCTCTCTAGTGACCAGTTGACCCTTTAGGCTACCACTCAAGTGACCAGTTGACCCTATAGGCTACCACTCTAGTGACCAGTTGACCCTATAGGCTACCTCTCTAGTGACCAGTCGACCCTATAGGCTACCTCTCTAGTGACCAGTTGACCCTTTAGGCTACCACTCAAGTGACCAGTTGACCCTATAGGCTACCACTCTAGTGACCAGTTGACCCTATAGGCTACCAGTGACCAGTTGACCCTATAGGCTACCAGTGACCAGTTGACCCTATAGGCTACCACTCTAGTGACCAGTGTACAGTTGGGTTAGCCGTACCACAACATCAGCCTGGTTGATGATCACAGAGCAATGCAGTAGAAAAAAAACAACCAAACTACAGTGTGGTACGGCTAATCCTACCTGACCTGTCATATTCGCTACACTAACTTTGTGACGAGTTGCTTGTAAATATATCATAAGGCAGCTTCAGAAGGGATTTTTTTTCACACAGAAATACGCAATCCCAATGAGAGAGAAATTAAACCTAACCAAAACATAACCGGACCCCCCCCCCCCCTTCTCTCTTACGGATAATACCGCCAGAAGAAGGAAACAAAATAAGAAAAATAAAAAACTATAAATAGAATCTTGACGCTGTGATTTATGTGACAACATTGAAAGTTGGCCAAACAAAAAAATGCGATTGCGTACTACTAGTAATACGATTGTCATTTGTTTTATCGATCCACAGGTAGAAATGCTAATTGAAACCTTGAACCACACAAAGCCAGCTAAAACCCCAGTGGGTGGTTGGGGTTCAATGTAGTCGCTACTCCCATTTTGTGGTGGCGAGTGGCCTATATAACAACTCGGTTGGATAAAAAGCAGAATAAAATACTTAAAAAAAAACTTTTTAAAAAACCACGTTTTTCTTGTGGACTAAAAAGTAGAAAATAACTATTTACATACATTTGATGACAAAAAACGTGGGTACGTTCACCATCAAATTTCCCGACCCATCTGCCCGACCCACGTTTTTTGTCATCAAATGTATGTAAATAGTTATTTTCTACTTTTTAGTCCACAAGAAAAACGTGGTTTTTTAAAAAGTTTTTTTTAAGTATTTTATTTTCTCCTTTTTAGTCCGTTGCTACACATGAAAAACGTGGTTTTTAAAAAAGTTTTTTATATAGTTTATTTTCTACTTTATCTAATGACTTGATTAAGTATGAATTGACTAAGTGTTTATAAATACACGGACTAAAAAAATCTTGAGCGACCAGGATTCGAACCTGGGTTGTCGCGGCCACAACGCGAAGTACTAACCACTATACGATCACGGCCAGCGCGCTCACATCGATTGGGGCCGAAGTAACTGTGTCAACAAGCCTCCAGTCTTGTCGGTATCTTTAGAAATCATGTCCTCAATTTTATGGTCCTTTGGGCGTAATTAAATTAAGCTAATTACGGTCTCTAATTGCTAGTTTTTATGATTGCATCTGAAATTGTTAGGCGAAAGTAACCTGCATGCCAAATTTCAGATCTATAGAGCAATCAGAAGTGGGCTAATTTTCGATGTCAATTTTAACAACAAACACATCCACGCGAAGCTGAGTTAATAAAAACGTGTTAAAAATCTATTAAAATCTGGAGTGGTTTCAACTGTAGAAATGATGACACGAGAGCCATTACGTAATACACAAACAACAGAAGTACCGCCCTGATGTTACCCTATGGTTCGAGGCTATGTTTACTTTAGCGCATTCTCTCATTCACAAAAACAAACATTGCACTAACGAGAGTATTGAGTTGTCGACACTCCTAGATCTACTTCGGCCTAGCTTGTTCGATCTATAACACAATCTCTAAACTCAACCAACAAAACTACGCCTACTCAGAAAGTTATGATAAGTCTAATCTTAACTGTCACTTTGAGAAGTGGGGGGGGGGGGGGGGGGAAGGGAGATTAAGTATACTTGATTTGTCATATCTACAAACTCCACTAAGTCGTGTGTTCGTTACTATCACTGCGTTACAAGACTAAATCCCAAGGCAAATTTATTTAAATAATAAAAGCAATAACTTTGAACATTATTTTAGGCTACTGACTAACACTAACATTAGACCTAATCCCAAGTTTTAAAATGTGTGCATATGTTTCCACTGTTGTGTATTGTCATTGTGAAGACAAATCGATAAAACATTGTTTTGTGATGAATGGTTCTGAAAAATTAAAATATTCTCTTTGTTATGTAGTAGTATGGGTAGTCTACCGCGTTTGATTTGTTTTCTAATTATAATATTAAAATTTGTTTCAAAATTGTAACCATGAACTTTGGCTATACAGAATCGAAAGCCGTAACATTATATAATTTAGTCTAGTTTGCCCTATAGAATAGATCAAGTTAGCCTGAGATTTATTTCGTATTATTTAAGTAATACTAGATCTAGATCTAGATTAGATCTGACTAGTAATAGTGTGACTAATAGCATTTCCCTATTTTTCTATGTAATATAATAATCTAGATTCTAGATCTAGAATCTAGATCGAATACAGATCTAGATCTAGATCTAGGTCTAGTAACTAGAATTCTAGATCTAGATCTAGTAATCGTAGGTTGTGACTTAAGGTTATTTTACGTCCTCTAAGTTTAAGTAAATAAACGACAGCGCATTTAACTTACCTTATTTTCTCAAAATATGAACCAGAAATAATCCGATTTTTTCAACATGTGAATAAGTCAACTATCAACTATTGTCAACTATGTGTGTTGTAAAGTAAAGCGTGTCAGACTGCTGTGCCCGCTATCGTCTGATCAACACTCACTGAATTCTTTGAACCGGAACGAACAGGTAAGGTGAGGTCCGACCGTTAGTCAGTGACACTTTATCACACGTGTAAACACTACAGCACATCCGTGTCACACAGTGACCCTTTCTTCTCGTGCACTGAAAACAAACGGTCACAAGTGTTAGAGCAGCTAGTAAAATGTACCAACACACCTCACTGTTTTCACTTGAATCCACTATGTCGCCGCGCGCTGCGGTCTAGACGCTGTGGTGCGATCCCGCTGAGAACAGGCCCAGCACTGGGAAAGGTATCCTTGAATGGGGACACAGGTGACGGGGACGACGGTAGCGAGGCGGAGGACGGTGTGTGGACGCCGTGTGAAAACTGATCGCGGCGCATTCCACGGTTAGACGGTGTGTTTATAGATCAGATATAACTTTAGCTCGGTACAGTAGCTTGTGTGGATCCGTTGCATCATTGATATAGACTAATATAGAGGCTTGTGCCTGTTACAGATTGGTAAAATCTATTTGTAGGCTACCTGGTACAGATTGGTAAAATCTACTTTTGCCAGTTACACATTTGTTAAATCTACTTGTACCAGTTACAGATTGGTAAAATCTCCGTGTACCTTTTACAGTTTCATTAAAGTGACAGTAGTCCCTACAGTTTCCAAGTATTTCAACGCTGTGAGTTATACAGGCTTTCGATGCCCTGTTAAATTATTATTCACAAAAAGTTTTTCCTCTATCAATAAAGTTTATATTTCTTTCAATAGATGCTAAACATTCATGTGGAGCAGTGGACCATGAAAGTGTAGAGGGTGGATTGGTTGGAGCGTTAAGTGTAGAGGGTGGATTGGGGTGGAGCGTTAAGTGTAGAGGGTGGATTGGGGTGGAGCGTTAAATGTAGAGGGTGGATTGGGTGGAGCGTTAAATGAAGAGGGTGGATTGGGGTGGAGCGTTAAGTGTAGAGGGTGGATTGGGTGGAGCGTTAAGTGTAGAGGGTGGATTGGGTGGATCGTTAAATGAAGAGGGTGGATTGGGGTGGAGCGTTAAGTGTAGAGGGTGGATTGGGGTGGAGCGTTAAGTGTAGAGGGTGGATTGGGTGGAGCGTTAAATGAAGAGGGTGGATTGGGGTGGAGCGTTAAGTGTAGAGGGTGGATTGGGGTGGAGCATTAAGTGTAGAGGGTGGATTGGGTGGAGCGTTAAGTGTAGAGGGTGGATTGGGTGGAGCGTTAAGTGTAGAGGGTGGATCATTAAGTGTAGAGGGTGGATTGGGTGGAGCGTTAAGTGTAGAGGGTGGATTGGGTGGAGCGTTAAGTGTAGAGGGTGGATTGGGTGGAGCGTTAAGTGTAGAGGGTGGATTGGGTGGAGCGTTAAGTGTAGAGGGTGGATCATTAAGTGTAGAGGGTGGATTGGGTGGAGCATTAAGTGTAGAGGGTGGATTGGGGTGGAGGATTAAGTGTAGAGGGTGGATTGGGTGGAGCGTTAAGTGTAGAGGGTGGATCATTAAGTGTAGAGGGTGGATTGGGTGGAGCGTTAAGTGTAGAGGATGGATCATTAAGTGTAGAGGGTGGATTGGGTGGATCATTAAGTGTAGAGGGTGGATTGGGTGGAGCGTTAAGTGTAGAGGGTGGATTGGGTGGAGCGTTAAGTGTAGAGGGTGGATTGGGTGGAGCGTTAAGTGTAGAGGGTGGATCATTAAGTGTAGAGGGTGGATTGGGTGGAGCGTTAAGTGTAGAGGGTGGATTGGGTGGAGCGTTAAGTGTAGAGGGTGGATTGGGCGGAGCGTTAAGTGTAGAGGGTGGATTGGGTGGAGCGTTAAGTGTAGAGGGTGGATCATTAAGTGTAGAGGGTGGATTGGGTGGAGCGTTAAGTGTAGAGGGTGGATCATTAAGTGTAGAGGGTGGATTGGGTGGATCATTAAGTGTAGAGGGTGGATTGGGTGGATCATTAAGTGTAGAGGGTGGATTGGGTGGAGCGTTAAGTGTAGAGGGTGGATTGGGTGGAGCGTTAAGTGTAGAGGGTGGATTGGGTGGAGCGTTAAGTGTAGAGGGTGGATCTTTAAGTGTAGAGGGTGGATTGGGTGAAGCGTTAAGTGTAGAGGGTGGATTGGGTGGAGCGTTAAGTGTAGAGGGTGGATTGGGTGGAGCGTTAAGTGTAGAGGGTGGATCATTAAGTGTAGAGGGTGGATTGGGTGGAGCGTTAAGTGTAGAGGGTGGATCATTAAGTGTAGAGGGTGGATTGGGTGGATCATTAAGTGTAGAGGGTGGATTGGGTGGATCATTAAGTGTAGAGGGTGGATTGGGTGGAGCGTTAAGTGTAGAGGGTGGATTGGGTGGAGCGTTAAGTGTAGAGGGTGGATTGGGTGGAGCGTTAAGTGTGGAGGGTGGATCATTAAGTGTAGAGGGTGGATTGGGTGGATCATTAAGTGTAGAGGGTGGATTGGGTGGAGCGTTAAGTGTAGAGGGTGGATTGGGTGGAGCGTTAAGTGTAGAGGGTGGATTGGGTGGAGCGTTAAGTGTAGAGGGTGGATTGGGTGGAGCGTTAAGTGTAGAGGGTGGATTGGGTGGAGCGTTAAGTGTAGAGGGTGGATCATTAAGTGTAGAGGGTGGATTGGGTGGAGCGTTAAGTGTAGAGGGTGGATCATTAAGTGTAGAGGGTGGATTGGGTGGAGCGTTAAATGTAGAGGGTGGATTGGGGTGGAGCATTAAGTGTAGAAGGTGGATTGGGGTGGAGCGTTAAGTGTAGAGGGTGGATTGGGGTGGAGCGTGTACGTTTGTTAAGGAGGTCATCATATGTACCAGCACACCCTTAGTTATCTCACTGGACACTAGATACAAACACACAATCAAAAACTATCACACACACAATCACACACCATCACATACGATCACACACCAGCACACACACACAATCACACACAATCACACACACAATCACACCAGCACACACACTCACATCACACACAATCACACACCAGCACACACCAGCACACACAATCACACACCACCACACACAATCACACACTATCACACCAGCACACACAATCATACACCAGCACACACAATCATACACCAGCAAACACACTATCACATACCAGCACACACACAATCTCACACACACGCACACACCAGCATAAACTCAATCACACACAATCACACACCGGCACACACAAACACACAAGCACACACTAGCACACACACAATATCACAAACCTTCACACTCAACAACACACTCACACTCCCACGCTTACACACCAGCACATACACAATCACACATTATCTCCCACACATCAGCACACCCACATAACAACACTCATTCTTACACACCAGTACATACAAACAATCACACACTCACAAACCTTCAACACAATCACACATTCATTCTCACACATTAGCACTCCGACAATCACACACTCACTCTTACAACCAACTCACACACATCTTACAAACAGACACACACAGCTTTGTATAGTTTTCCAGCCTTGAGAAGACCATCCTTGTTGACACACACTGGAGGGGCGGGGGTTGACACTGTTTCACATGTCAGCAAACATTTGCTTTAACGGTGCTCAGGTGTCGGCTACACCTGACCTAGCAAGGTCCTGTACTGATGCTACATCTAGCAAGGTCCTGTACTGATGCTACATCTAGCAAGGTCCTGGACTGCCTTATATGGCTACACCTGACCTAACAAGGTCCTGTACAGGCTACACCTAGAAAGGTCCTGGACTGCCTTATATGGCTACACCTGACCTAACAAGGTCCTGTACAGGCTACACCTAGAAAGGTCCTGGACTGCCTTATATGGCTACACCTGACCTAACAAGGTCCTGTACAGGCTACACCTAGAAAGGTCCTGGACTGCCTTATATGGCTACACCTGACCTAACAAGGTCCTGTACAGGCTACACCTAGAAAGGTCCTGGACTGCCTTATATGGCTACACCTGACCTAACAAGGTCCTGTACAGGCTACACCTAGAAAGGTCCTGGACTGCCTTATATGGCTACACCTGACCTAACAAGGTCCTGTACAGGCTACACCTAGAAAGGTCCTGGACTGAGATAACATCTAGCAAGGTCCTGTACTGCCTTATATGGCTACACCTGAAGACGATTACTTAGACCAGGTAAAGGTGTTGGTCAAGGTCCAGCCAACGGTCCACTACCTAAATTAAGTCAATCGGTGCATCCATTGCTCACGTGTACTGCAGCACGTGTGCGTGTTGCCTAGCAACACGTTTAACTCTAGTGTGTTTAGCTTATCATCAGCAGAACAAACTGAGCTAATTTATTCTGTGTAAACACGGCAGTGTGTTGACCAGAGGGGAGTCTGATATTCAGGGGGGGGGGGGGGTTGTAGCACACAGATTATCATCGTCTCTTAATCTCAGTTCCTCTGTTTGCTTGAAAAAGTTTTGAGTTGTTAGTGTATCAATGTAAGCAATGTTTTACAAACTTCTGATGTTCTCTCAGGTAAAATTTGTACTGCTGGTTTCTGTTATTTTAATTGTATAAATTATCAGGCCCAACCGAGTAGACTGACCTAAAGACCTTAGTGAGTAGACTGACCTAAAGACCTTAGTGAGTACTGACCTAAAGACCTTAGTGAGTCGACTGACCTAAAGACCTTAGTGAGTAGACTGACCTAAAGACCTTAGTGAGTCGACTGACCTAAAGACCTTAGTGAGTCGACTGACCTAAAGACCTTAGTGAGTAGACTGACCTAAAGACCTTAGTGAGTACTGACCTAAAGACCTTAGTGAGTCGACTGACCTAAAGACTTTGGTGAGTAGACTGACCTAAAGAACTGACCTACAAGGTCGACCTTGCATACAATCGTGTTCAGCTAAACAGCCAATGCTCAATTTTAATGTAAGAATAGGGAATTATTTTTTGTAACAATAGGTTTTACATATCTTTATATAAGGGGAAATCGAAAACGAAAATGGGACAAACATGTTTGTTTCGTATCTTTTATTTCTATTATTAGAAACCATTTTAATAAAACCTTTTAAAAAAAATTATTAAGGTGTTGTGAAATAAAGCCCACTTCAAATACCGGATGCATAAAATGATAAAGCATCACCGTGTTTGCTTCTTAAAACCGGTTTATCCGCAGACGAACAAAGCCTGGACTTAAATTTTTTTAATGACACAGTAGCCTCGCCACAGAGTTGGCTTTTGTCGTGGCTCTCTGATCTGGCAACCCGATTGTTATTTGTTCTTCTCTACTTTGTAATCGGCAGACGACGGGTGTATGATTATATTCGACATAATATATATACCATTATACCAGCGTCGTATAATTACGTTTGTGTTTAAAAACTTAAAGACTAAATATCGAAAACAGTGGGGGGTGTGGATGGAAAAAAAACTAAATGATACTCTAATGTACAGGGTATTTTAAGAAACTGATCGTTTCCTTGGCAACGACACTAAAGATTATGATTCATATCGATAGCGCCTTTTGGTAATCGCGGCGATGTTTTAAAAGACTCTTAAATGCTTTCACCACAACTAGAAATAAATGTTTGGCTATCAGCTAAAAAAGCCATTGTTGGAAAAAATCAATCCCTCCCCCACCCCTTCACCGCCTCATTTGAAAAAGGTCCTGATGGCGTTTAATTTATTTAATGAGTATTTATCTAAATGCTCAACTAGTTGTAGAGCTAATCAAGCAGACAGAAGGTAGTTATAAACCAATGACAATCAAGCATCTAGAAGGTAGTTATATGCCAATGACAATCAAGCATCTAAAAGGTAGTTATAAGCCAATGACAATCAAGCAGACAGAGGTAGTTATAAGCCAATGACAATCAAGCAGACAGAAGGTAGTTATAAGCCAATGACAATCAAGCAGACAGAAGGTAGTTATATGCCAATGACAATCAAGCATCTAAAAGGTAGTTATAAGCCAATGACAATCAAGCAGACAGAAGGTAGTTATAAGCCAATGACAATCAAGCAGACAGAGGTAGTTATAAGCCAATGACAATCAAGCAGACAGAGGTAGTTATAAGCCAATGACAATCAAGCAGACAGAAGGTAGTTATATGCCAATGACAATCAAGCATCTAAAAGGTAGTTATAAGCCAATGACAATCAAGCAGACAGAAGATAGTTATAAGCCAATGACAATCAAGCAGACAGAAGGTAGTTATAAGCCAATGACAATCAAGCATCTAGAAGGTAGTTATATGCCAATGACAATCCGCAGACAGAAGGTAGTTATAAGCCAATGACAATCAAGCAGACAGAAGGTAGTTATATGCCAATGACAATCAAGCAGACAGAAGGTAGTTATATGCCAATGACAATCAAGCATCTAAAAGGTAGTTATAAGCCAATGACAATCAAGCATACAGAAGGTAGTTATATGCCAATGACAATCAAGCAGACAGAAGGTAGTTATAAGCCAATGACAATTCGCAGACAGAAGGTAGTTATAAGCCAATGACAATCAAGCAGACAGAAGGTAGTTATATGCCAATGACAATCAAGCATCTAAAAGGTAGTTATATGCCAATGACAATCAAGCAGACAGAAGGTAGTTATAAGCCAATGACAATCAAGCATACAGACGGTAGTTATAAGCCAATGACAATCAAGCATACAGAAGGTAGTTATAAGCCAATGACAATCAAGCAGACAGAAGGTAGTTATAAGCCAATGACAATCAAGCATACAGAAGGTAGTTATAAGCCAATGATAATCAAGCATCTAGACGGTAGTTATAAGCCAATGATAATCAAGCAGACAGAAGGTAGTTATAAGCCAATGACAATTCGCAGACAGAAAGTAGTTATAAGCCAATGACAATCAAGCAGATAGAAGGTAGTTATAAGCCAATGATAATCAAGCAGACAGAAGGTAGTTATAAGCCAATGACAATCAAGCATCTAGACGGTAGTTATAAGCCAATGACAATCAAGCAGACAGAAGGTAGTTATAAGCCAATGATAATCAAGCAGACAGAAGGTAGTTATAAGCCAATGACAATCAAGCATCTAGACGGTAGTTATAAGCCAATGACAATCAAGCAGACAGAAGGTAGTTATAAGCCAATGATAATCAAGCAGACAGAAGGTAGTTATAAGCCAATGACAATCAAGCATCTAGACGGTAGTTATAAGCCAATGACAATCAAGCAGACAGAAGGTAGTTATAAGCCAATGATAATCAAGCAGACAGAAGGTAGTTATAAGCCAATGACAATCAAGCATCTAGACGGTAGTTATAAGCCAATGACAATCAAGCAGACAGAAGGTAGTTATAAGCCAATGATAATCAAGCAGACAGAAGGTAGTTATAAGCCAATGACAATCAAGCATCTAGACGGTAGTTATAAGCCAATGACAATCAAGCATACAGAAGGTAGTTATAAGCCAATGATAATCAAGCAGACAGAAGGTAGTTATAAGCCAATGACAATCAAGCAGACAGAAGGTAGTTATAAGCCAATGACAATCAAGCAGACAGAAGGTAGTTATATGCCAATGACAATCAAGCATCTAAAAGGTAGTTATAAGCCAATGACAATCAAGCAGACAGAAGGTAGTTATAAGCCAATGACAATCAAGCAGACAGAAGGTAGTTATAAGCCAATGACAATCCAGCAGACAGAAGGTAGTTATATGCCAATGACAATCAAGCATCTAGAAGGTAGTTATAAGCCAATGACAATCAAGCAGACAGAAGGTAGTTATATGCCAATGACAATCAAGCATCTAAAAGGTAGTTATAAGCCAATGACAATCAAGCAGACAGAAGGTAGTTATAAGCCAATGACAATCAAGCAGACAGAAGGTAGTTATAAGCCAATGACAATCAAGCAGACAGAAGGTAGTTATAAGCCAATGACAATCAAGCATCTAGAAGGTAGTTATAAGCCAATGACAATCAAGCAGACAGAAGGTAGTTATAAGCCAATGATAATCAAGCAGACAGAAGGTAGTTATAAGCCAATGACAATCAAGCAGACAGAAGGTAGTTATAAGCCAATGATAATCAAGCAGACAGAAGGTAGTTATAAGCCAATGACAATCAAGCATCTAGACGGTAGTTATAAGCCAATGACAATCAAGCATACAGAAGGTAGTTATAAGCCAATGACAATCAAGCAGACAGAAGGTAGTTATATGCCAATGACAATCAAGCATCTAAAAGGTAGTTATAAGCCAATGACAATCAAGCAGACAGAAGGTAGTTATAAGCCAATGACAATCAAGCAGACAGAAGGTAGTTATAAGCCAATGACAATCAAGCAGACAGAAGGTAGTTATAAGCCAATGACAATCAAGCATCTAGAAGGTAGTTATAAGCCAATGACAATCAAGCAGACAGAGGTAGTTATAAGCCAATGACAATTCGCAGACAGAAGGTAGTTATAAGCCAATGACAATTCGCAGACAGAAGGTAGTTATAAGCCAATGACAATCAAGCATCTAGACGGTAGTTATAAGCCAATGACAATCAAGTGGACAGAGGTAGTTATAAGCCAATGACAATCAAGCAGACAGAAGGTAGTTATATGCCAATGACAATCAAGCATCTAGAAGGTAGTTATAAGCCAATGACAATCAAGCAGACAGAAGGTAGTTATATGCCAATGACAATCAAGCATCTAGACGGTAGTTATAAGCCAATGACAATCAAGCATCTAGAAGGTAGTTATAAGCCAATGACAATCAAGCAGACAGAAGGTAGTTATAAGCCAATGACAATCAAGCATCTAGACGGTAGTTATAAGCCAATGACAATCAAGCATACAGAAGGTAGTTATAAGCCAATGACAATCAAGCATACAGAAGGTAGTTATAAGCCAATGACAATCAAGCATACAGAAGGTAGTTATAAGCCAATGACAATCAAGCAGACAGAAGGTAGTTATAAACCAACGACAATCAAGCAGACAGAAGGTAGTTATAAGCCTATGACAATCCAGCAGACAGAAGGTAGTTATAAGCCAATGACAATCAAGCAGACAGAAGGTAGTTATATGCCAATGACAATCAAGCATCTAAAAGGTAGTTATAAGCCAATGACAATCAAGCAGACAGAAGGTAGTTATAAACCAACGACAATCAAGCAGACAGAAGGTAGTTATAAGCCTATGACAATCAAGCAGACAGAAGGTAGTTATAAACCAACGACAATCAAGCAGACAGAAGGTAGTTATAAGCCAATGACAATCCAGCATCTAGAAGGTAGTTATAAGCCAATGACAATCCAGTGGACCTGAACAGACAGGGGCAGTAATCAACCGTGGACGTGTTCAATCGACAACCCTGAACATCCTGCTCATTAATATTTCTCATCTTTTTTTTAAGTCATCAATATTAATTCGCAATATCTAATGATCGTGACAAATTTAATCCGCAGCAAACTGCAAAAATTGCCGTTCGAAAAAAAAATTAATTAGCAATCGAAATGGGAAAATAAATGAATGTAGCAGAAGTGGGAGGTTTTCTGGAGGTCATTTGTGGGATGCACGTGACACAGTGTCCGCAACTAGGTCAAACCCAGGTGTACATGTAACGAATCATGACTTGACCAGTCATGACTGCAAATCTTGTCATTTTCAGTCAAGTCATGACTGCAAATCTTGTCCTCTTCAGTCAAGTCATGACTGCAAATCTTGTCCTCTTCAGTCTAGTCATGACTGCAAATCTTGTCCTCTTCAGTCAAGTCATAACTTAAAATTGTGTCCTCTTCAGTTAAGTCATGACTGCAAATCTTGTCCACTTCAGGCAAGTCATGACTGCAAATGTTGTCCACTTCAGCCAAGTAATGACTGCATACATTGTCCACTTCATCAAACTATAGAACACAAAGGCTCGACGTCAAGAACTAGTTCAAAGACAGGACAAACGCGGTTTGGATCGATACCGGTAATTGTCCTACCATACTTACGCTTGCGATTATTCCGAAGTAGTTTGACATTTAAAAGTGGAGAATAAAATCGTTTAGAAGCATCGATTACAAATAGTCTTATGAACTATTTTTAGACCTGCAAGATTTAATAATCCCGTGACGTCAAAAATAAACCGGGAGTGATCTCCCCTAAACTTTCTCGAATATTCTAATATAACACTACAGGGGATGGCAACTCGGGATATAGACTTCTAGACATGATTTTTAATCCATTTTAAATACTCACATTTCTTAAAATAGAGTATAATCTCGTAGAAAAAAGAAATGCACACCAAGTGAACGCTAAATAAAAAAGCGCATAATAGTGCGCAATATTATTAGTACTTTATAAATTTACATGCGTTTTTTGAGAAATCGGAAATAGCGTAAATAAGTACTTCCGGTCAACGGAAATTACTCAAAATTTGACAGAAGGTAGAGAATTAGCTCTTTTTCTTACATATCAAATTTCATTTATCTATCTGAAATAGTACTCAAGTTATAGGCTTTTGAAAATTCAAAGTAGAAAAAGTACCACTTCCGGTTATCGGAATTCGCTCAAAAGTTGATACGGATCTACGATTTTGATAAAATACTTATATATGAAATTTCACCAGCCTAGCTGTAACGGTACTCAAGTTATCGTGTTTACACACGGACACACAGACACACACACACACACACACACACACACACACACACACACACACACACACAGACATACGGACAAGATTGCAAAATTATGTTTTTCCGTATCAGTGAGGTGTAAAACGTCGAGATTTGTAAAAATCTCGATTTTTTTTTTGCACGATTACAATACTTTCTCTATACTACGTATATACGAGAAAGTAAAAAGCACCTCGATTATTTTCTCTGTTTACTGTTGATACATTTCGTGACACACACACACACTGTTTGCTACATAGGGACTTCACGACGGTGACGGCTTTGTCGGAGATTTGATGATTACGAAAAAATATTAAAATAATTTTCAACTGCCAGTTTGAAAAAAGCTCGCCTTTTAAAAACTACGATCATTTGCATGGCAGTGATTTTTATTCGTCATGGCCATTCGTTTGTAATATTATCATCCAATGGCGTGATTAGATTCGAGGACGACGGTTTAGCCCTACAAAACCATATCTCTACTACTCTGTCTTTCTAGCATGACGTTGGCGAGTCTCTTACAGGTTTGTTGATGTGAGGCTTTAATGTCTTGATCGTCCCATATGCTTAAACTTATGGGCTTCTGTTCCACATACTAAGATTGGGGGTCAACGGAATCTCTCACTATGCGAACTACACCACCGGTGTACACCCATACGTCACTATCCGACCCACACCATACGTCACTACCCGACCCACACCATACGTCACTATCCTACCCACACCATACGTCACTATCCGACCCACACCATACGTCACTATCTTACCCACACCATACGTCACTATCCTACCCACACCATACGTCACTACCCGACCCACACCATACGTCACTATCCGACCTACCATACGTCACTATCCTACCCACACCATACGTCACTACCCGACCCACACCATACGTCACTTTCCGACCTACCATACGTCACTATCCTACCCACACCATACGTCACTATCCTACCCACATCATACGTCACTATCCTACCCACACCATACGTCACTATCCTACCCACACCATACGTCACTATCTTACCCACACCATACGTCACTATCCTACCCACACCATACGTCACTATCCTACCCACACCATACGTCACTATCCTACCCACACCATACGTCACTATCCTACCCACACCATACGTCACTATCCGACCTACCATACGTCACTATCCTACCTACACCATACGTCACTATCCTACCCACACCATACGTCACTATCCTACCCACACCATACGTCACTATCCTACCCACACCATACGTCACTATCCTACCCACACCATACGTCACTATCTTACCCACACCATACGTCACTATCCTACCTACACCATACGTCACTATCCTACCCACACCATACGTCACTATCCTACCCACACCATACGTCACTATCCTACCCACACCATACGTCACTATCTTACCCACACCATACGTCACTATCCTACCCACACCATACGTCACTATCCTACCCACACCATACGTCACTATCTTACCCACACCATACGTCACTATCCTACCCACACCATACGTCACTATCCTACCCACACCATACGTCACTATCCTACCCACACCATACGTCACTATCTTACCTACACCATACGTCACTATCCGACCTACCATACGTCACTATCCGGTCCACACCGTACGTCACTCATGACCCTAGTACACCACACGACAAAGTCTAAAACAAAAGTAAAGTGGTGACAATAGAAGCTGTAAAATGTTGATGAATGAAACAAGATTGCTGGGTAAGACGATAGCACTGGGATAAGCTGTTGATAAGTTGTTTACAACACAAACATGACCTTTGAACTATGAATACTTCACCCCTGCCCGGTATTATCATAAAGTAAGTTCCATAAATAAAAAAACAAAAAGTAATTTCATCAAAGCGCGTCAAGACTAATAAATATCGACTTTCATTTAGCGCGCGAAACAATTTATGGTTTTATAATACCTGTCGGGTATTAATTTCATTTTCTGTGGAGTCATTAAACGATTGTGTCCCCCCCCCTCCTCTCTCCGCTCACCGCCCTAAAAGATAGTAAAAATGCAGACAATTTAACACACTTTAAATTTTTTTTGACTGAGTCGTTGATATTAATGATACGGGCAAGTGGTCATCATAACGAAAGGTTGGCGAGAACAAAAACAAGCACAACGCAGTAGAGTATGACATCACGACAGTAGAGTATGACATCACGACAGTAGAGTGTGACATCACGACAGTAGAGTGTGACATCACGACAGTAGAGTATGACATCACGACAGTAGAGTGTGACATCACGACAGTAGAGTATGACATCACGACAGTAGAGTATGACATCACGACAGTAGGGTATGACATCACGACAGTAGAGTATGACATTACGACAGTAGAGTATGACATCACGACAACAACGTGTGACATCACGACAGTAGAGTGTGACATCACGAAAGTAGAGTGTGACATCACGACATGACATCACGACAATAGAGTGTGACATCACGACAGGACATCACGACAGTAGAGTGTGACATCACGACAGTAGAGTATGACATCACGACAGTAGAGTATGACATCACGACATGACATCACGACAGTAGAGTGTGACATCACGACAGTAGAGTATGACATCACGACAGTAGAGTATGACATCACGACAGTAGAGTGTGACATCACGACAGTAGAGTGTGACATCACGACAGTAGAGTGTGACATCACGACATGACATCACGACAATAGAGTGTGACATCACGACAGGACATCACGACAGTAGAGTATGACATCACGACAGTAGAGTATGACATCACGACATGACATCACGACAGTAGAGTGTGACATCACGACAGTAGAGTATGACATCACGACATGACATCACGACAGTAGAGTGTGACATCACGACAGTAGAGTGTGACATCACGACATGACATCACGACAGTAGAGTATGACATCACGACAGTAGAGTATGACATCACGACAGTAGAGTGTGACATCACGACAGTAGAGTGTGACATCACGACAGTAGAGTATGACATCACGACAGTAGGGTATGACATCACGACAGTAGAGTATGACATCACGACAGTAGAGTATGACATCACGACAACAACGTGTGACATCACGACAGTAGAGTGTGACATCACGAAAGTAGAGTGTGACATCACGACATGACATCACGACAATAGAGTGTGACATCACGACAGGACATCACGACAGTAGAGTGTGACATCACGACAGTAGAGTATGACATCACGACAGTAGAGTGTGACATCACGACAGTAGAGTGTGACATCACGACATGACATCACGACAATAGAGTGTGACATCACGACAGGACATCACGACAGTAGAGTATGACATCACGACAGTAGAGTATGACATCACGACATGACATCACGACAGTAGAGTGTGACATCACGACAGTAGAGTATGACATCACGACATGACGTCACGACAGTAGAGTGTGACATCACGACAGTAGAGTGTGACATCACGACATGACATCACGACAGTAGAGTATGACATCACGACAGGACATCACGACAGTAGAGTGTGACATCACGACAGTAGAGTGTGACATCACGACAGTAGAGTGTGACATCACGACATGACATCACGACAGTAGAGTGTGACATCACGACAGTAGAGTATGACATCACGACAGTAGAGTGTGACATCGCGACAGTAGAGTG